AATCTCTTACCACTAATAAAATTCTAGACCCATAGGGCCCAGGCTGCCAGCAACCTGCTACTTATCTTCCAACACGAAGATCCCGAGCAGTGCCGAATTCTGGCAAAGCAGCAGACACACTCCCCCCTGCTCTGTTGCACATTGGCTACGATTTGTTTTCAAGTCCTATTCTCTCGAGCCTCCTTGGAGAAAACACAGGCCTAGAAAGAGCAGGTTCCAGGTCTCCTAATACTCAGTGCACTGACTCTGTCTTTAAGGCTCTGACACTGAGCTGCATGGTGGTCTCTGCTAGGCATATCCCAACTAGCCTAAGAGAGGGAGTCACTCTTAAGTTAAATGAGATTCGCTGAGAAAGAGTTTATTTCAGACAATATTCCCTCTTTTCCCTCTTTGACATCCTAGTGAAGCCGAAAAAATTAGGGCAGAGGTTATTCCCAAGTGAACATTTCTCAGCATCGTAAGCTTGAACGCTGTGGAAAACCCTATGAGGAACCCCCATGGCAAGTGGGCTTAAGCCCTCCCAAGGGTTCTGCACCCTTGAGGTACAAAGATCCACACCAGGGCCGCTTCATGGACATACGACCAATGCATGTGGTCCATGCGCAGGGGGAACCAATGCCTGTGGTCACCATATTGGAATCTCAATGATTGTATCCTGAGTTGGTGTTTCCTACGGGCAGTCTGGTGGAATACCAGAGCTTGTTCTGGAGGCTTGGACGAAACCCATCCCTGGAGCAGGTTATCTACTTGCATCCCGTGAGGAGCCTGCAGTGGACTTGGGGGCTGCCCATTTGCTGTCGTCTGAACAGGAGGAGGGGGGAGATCCCTGGCTCGACTTCCTGAGGACAACATCTAGAACAAAGTGGTCTAGAAGCTTGCAGAAGAGGGTACCAAGCACGTGTTATGTCTGAGCAAGCATGTATGCACCTGGCAGACCGCAGGTTCCCGTGAAGGTCTATTAACATCCTGCAAGATCTTCTTGTGGGACTGGGCACGCCACACAGTGTGCCCCCTGGCGGGGGGTGGGGGGAGCTCTCTCTTCCCTTTTCTCACCTCCCTGAGTCTTGCTTGCCCCTCCAGCTATCTCAAAGCACGCTCCAGGACAGGAAATAGAAATTGTGAAATGCCGGTGATTCTGCATACAAGTGAAATGCTCTGACATTTGCGCGTTAACACTGGCACCGAATAATATGAAGCCGAAGAATAAAATCCATACTAATCACTTAATTTTTAAATTTTTCTTTACTGAGAACAGCACTGAGTAGCAAATCTGAAACACCGATGGCAAATTGCAAGAGCGACAGAAGAAAGAAAAAGCGTTTTATATTTTAGTTCCTTTAACAACACTCTTTTTTCTTGCTATTTGAAATACTGGACCACACATTTTCATTTTGCACTGAGCCCCCAAAATTAGGTAGTCATTCTTGAAGTAAATTAACCAGTTAACCAATAAAGTCCTAAAAATAAGAACAAAACCTAAAACTGATAGCCACCCTCATTCGGAACCCAGCTCCACTGTCTATAAGCTTTGTGAGTAACCTACCTTCTCAGCACCTGTTTGCTTATCAGTTAGGGAACAAATGGTACCTTCCTTACATGGCTGCTGTGCAGATTAAATCAACTAGGACTTGTAGGACACCTAGAACAGAGGCGGGTACTTATTAATCTTCCCGTTAGCATTAGCTCCGTTGCCACCGTCACTTTCATTATCCCCAACATGGGCTAGCATCTCCACCTTGCTGGGCAGGTACTTATCTCCCATGGGACACGCACGAGAGGCTGGAAGTTCAGGAAGGTGATCTGCCCAGGCCCCCCATCTGCAGAGTGGCCGATGCAGAGCAGGTCTGCCTCGTTCCAAAGCTCACGTCCCTGCTCCAGACTCCACAGCCCAGATCTCCTGTTCATTTCACGGACAGAAGGACGTCCTTCCCAACCACCTCTGTTAGTGGGATTTGAAGGACGTTGTGCATATGGTACGTGCAAACTTGAAATGGCAACGTGCCCAACGCCCTGCACACGGGGCTGGGAATGGATATCCTGCGAGGTGTTAACTTGCACTGTTTCTTTTCATGAATGGGGCCAGCATTTAGTAGGGATGTGATGCCGTTCAGCCATCCGTCTCCCTTTCAGTATGAAATTCTGAACTCTTCCATGTCAGGGGCTGTGCCAGATAATTTAGGAATCTCCGCCCCCCCCCCCCCCGCCACCATTCCCCTCCCCATGCATCAGTACTGAGTCGCTTGGGCGTTCAGGCTGGTTGAGGGCTGCAGGGCTGACAGCTGAAGCCCACCCGCACCGCCGAAACAAAGACACCAGGTGAGCACCATCTACCTGCCGCCCTACAGCCTCGCTGCTGCAGGGCTGGGCGGCTGGAAAGCGTGAGCAATTAGGGTTAGAGACTGTTAGATTCCAGCCTCCTCTGCAGGCCTGCCACTCCAGGGCACTGCCCCCCCCCCGCCCCGCCCCGCAGCTCCGAGTCTCTGTCTACACCGCGAGCGCATAGGTTCGGGTCTCCATAGGCGAGCCCTGGCGGCGTCACCTCTAAGAGTCCACACGCTTGGCTGGCCTCAAGGGAGGAGACAAGCCTTCTTCCGTCCTTTAAAAGATGCCTAGAACTGTGCGAGAGAAGTTGAAAATGGCCACCTGCTCAAGAAACAGCCTTCTGCTGGGGCTTCTTTGCACAAGTGGGTGGGGTGGCCCTGAGAAAAGGGGCTCATGCACAAGCTTGGTCTCGCCCCACCTTTCCTGCCTGTTAATAAATTCCACGTACCCCATAAGGAGCCGGCATCAGCCTGACTCCTCCGTAGTCCTCTCCCAATTATTTAACAAGGGGGAGGGACAGGGAAGCTTGAGGGTTTATAAGGAGAGTGTGTTGCTGCCTTTTCAAATCTTAAGAAAGCATAATCCCTGCAATTTAGGTAAATCAGATAGGCATTACCAGGTTAGGGTTAACCCGCCACGAATGGCTTGGCAACTGATGGCAAAAACAGCAGTTATTAAGTCCTAACAGTAATTTGCAGCTTATTCCAGCCCAGCTAATTAAAATGTAATCAGGATTGTGTGGCAATGTGTATTCTGTCAGCAGTTTTTCTTCCGAAGAGAAATCATGCCAGGAGACCACAAGAAAAGCCTTTCACGGGAATTGGCTTGATCTAAACTGCTTCTTTAGCCGCTTAAACTGCTAAACAAATAAATTACAGCAACTGACAATTCAATAAGAAAAGAAAGAAAGAAAGAAAGAAAGAAGGAAAGAAAGAAAGAAAGATACTCTTTCTCTCCAGGAATGGGTCACTCTGTTTTGTTTTCTGTTGATGAAACAGCAGTGGAGCATCTTCTCAGGAGAGGGACTGACAGAGCAGGGCAGGGCGGATTTGAAACCAGGTGGCTGGGGAGGAGCCCTCTCCAGGATGTCCGCGTAATTTCAGCGCAGGACGCGAGCACTCGGGTTTCCCTTTCCCTAAACAATCAGGAGGCACGCAGAGTGTGCCAGCTTCTCGGAATGCCACTACAGGTTGCTTCCTTAAGAACGCGCACTCCCGCACACGCAAACTTCGCGAGCTAGTGCAGTCTCTGAAGATCCCAACCGTGAGTGCTTGTGCCATTGGGCGCCAGCTTTCATTAGCTCTCAGGCCAGGACGAACACCCTTAAGGGTACAGAGATACGTCCCAAACTCCACCGTCATTACAATCACCTGCTTTCACAGCTGAAAACCCAGGGCCCCTTGGAAAGCTCCCTTTACCCTGACCAGGCGGGAGGGGCGCCCAGTTTATTTCCTAAGATCAAAAACCTGCCAAAGAGTCCCGAGTCTCCGTCTGGCCTCCGCAGTCCTGCCGCGGCAAGAAGGAACTTAGAGTCTTGGAACAGGTGAGCCGCTTAGAGGCGAGAAGGCCAAGTGGAGAACGACGGCCCTCGAGAGAAATAAGGCGTCTGCGTGAATGATTTCAGACTGCGCGCACTCGGATCGGCTGGGAAAGGCAACCCAGCGCGCCTCCGCAGAGTCCTCAAGCGGCGCAAACGCGCCCCCAGCACCCCGGGTTCGCACGCACGACCTGCGGGGGCCCTCAGCGCTGTCGCTCCCCCCCAACACCAAGGGTCCCGCAGTCCACCCCCCCCCCCAACACCAAGGGTCCCGCAGTCCACAGGCAACAAGCGTGCGTCCCCCTGAGCCCCCAACATTCACATTCACACGCACGCTCTTCCACACTGCAGCTGAAAGGACCTACGAGGGCTGGGGTAAGACACCGACCCCAGGACGCTTCTCAGGGCACCCATACGCGGCCCTCCAAGTCCCGTAAGCCGCCCCCCCCCCCCCGAGTCTCTTCCCTTACTCTCCACACTTTCCACCGACTAGACCTAGAAGCTCCGGGGCTCCGAACTGGGGAGCGCACAGCTACCACCACCACCACCCCCTCCCCAACACACACATTCTGGAACACACGACTGACCGGGAAACCCCTGGGGCTCCGAGGGTGGGCTGCGAGCTCCGGGCCCGCCGAATGGGAAAGCACCGCTCAGTAGAGACAAAAGTGTCGACGCGCGGGCACCTGCGGGGCTGGGCGAGTCGCGCGGGTCCCCGGGCGCAGCCGGGCGCGCCTCCCGGCCTCGCTCACAGGGCTGGCGGCACCGAGGGCCCCCCGAGCGCCCGGGAGTTTGCGGGACTCGCCACCAGCCCGGAGTCCCGCGCGCGGAAGTCCTGGGAAACTAACAAATGCTCACAGCCACGCTCGGCATCTGCAAAGCCGCTCTCCCTCCCCACAGAGAGCGCCTCGCGCTTTCCGCGGGCAAGAGGGGAGTTGGGGGAAGATGCTGCACGTTCCTCTTTCCTCTCGGGAGCAAGGAGGAGGCCGGAAAGGAGGGTTCGACCACCTCGACTTGGGAGATTCACGCCGAGGGAAAGCGGGATCTGCCGGCCGAGCCCGGCGAGAAGTTTGGGCGCCGAGGCTGGGAGGCAGGCGCCGCGCGCGCCCCCCGCCCCGGTCGGCAGCCGCGGTTTCCGTACCTGGAAATGCTGGAAGAAGGCGGAGATGCGCGTGATCTGCAAGCTGAGGCACCTGGAGGAGCAGCGGGCGCGCTGGACGCTCACGGCCGACAGGGACTCGTCCAGCCGCCGAGCAGCCGCGGCGCCGGGGCCGCCAGCCAGGCAGCCCCCGGAGGCCGCCAGCCAGAGGCAGAGGGTCAGGGCCGCGCCGGGCGCCCCGGGCACCATGGCTGCGGGTCGGGGGCGCGGGCGCCGGGCGCTGGCCGAGGCTCCCAGCTCCGCGCCGGGGCCGCACTGCCGGGAACCTCGCGGCCGCGGCAACTCCGCCGCAAAGTTCAATCATTCAACTCCAGCCCCGCGCCCTCCCCGCCAACCTCCTCCCTGCTCTGCCTCCAGGGGCGGGGAGAGGGTGACAGGCCGCCGCGCCATTGGCTGGAAGGAAAGTGAGTGACAGGGGGGCCGGGCGGAGGGCCGTGGGCAGGTCTAAGGGGCAGCGAGCCCCCGCGCTCAAAGGCAGGGCGGCGCCGGCCGGGTCTTCCCGGTGCGCCCCACTCTGGGCGGTCGGTCTCCCACGCAGGCTCCCCCACAGTCCGCATTCTCCCCAGCCCCCACCCACCCCCACCATCCAGCTAAACGTCAGGTGTGAGCGAGCCCGGGCCTGGGATGCAGGTTGCCCCCTTGGAAAGGAGGGCCTCGGGACCCCCAGGGGCGACCAACCTGCCCAAGGAAGGACGCAGCGCCTCAAAGTTGTTTCCTCCCCAGGTTCTACCCCGGGTCCAAGCTTCGCTCCGACTTTCACATATTTGAATTTCCTTTCATTCCCAAGTAGCAACTGATACGGATATAAGAGGAGTCAGAAGCCAGGCAAGGTCATTTGACTGACATTTCCCCCCCCCCACCTCCCCCGCATTTCTTCCTTTGTTCTTCCTCCCTTCTTTCCTAATTACTACGCGGAAACCGATCTGAGTGCATAGCAAGTGCCATTTGTTAAACAGACACACACCACTTGCTTCCTGGGCTGTCTGTTTTTCTGGTAAAAGCACTACTCTCTCCCGAGGCGAGCGCCTCAAAACAGAAATCTTTCCCAAACTCTTGCCCTTGAATGTGGCCCCCAAGACTCTTGATCCGGCCTCACCGTCTCTTGCGATCTTTTCCCAGGCTCTTTGGCTACACGCGCCCTCAGTCCCCAGAGAGGGCCGTGCCCCGTGAAGAGCTCTGGCAGCATTTATAAACCCAGCACCTGTTACAAGGTTCACGCTGCCCTGAGTTGCACTGGGAAGTGTGAGAGGACGCCCTAGAGAGAGCTGGGGTGTGATCAGGAAGGCTGCGCCTGACGCATGCGGATGTGCATATAACACAGCTGAGTCAGAGACCCGTGCACACGCATACTCAGGTGCAGACCACCGGGCTCACAGGCCTGTGCCCGGACCTCCCCGCACCCTCACGCAGAACGGAACTTCCGGCTTCCAAAACCCAGTACCTCCGTAAGCACACGGCTACGCACAGCTAGTGTGTCCATGCGCTCCACCTGCCCAAAGATTCATCACCGAGTGGGATTCCTCTTCCCATGCACCTTAGGCTCTTTCCGCAGTTTCCAACGTCTCCCCACCCCCATTTCCCCCACCCCACCCCCCGCACATTTTCCACTCTGTGATTCTGAGCTCTTCCTGTTAAACTAGAGCGACAACCATCTACAGTTATCCTGTTATACCTGTGATTCTCTTTCAAGTACCTCATCTTCTGTGTCTATTTCTTCACACGGTTAAGTCAGCAAGGCCAAATGGAATTCACTGCTTAGCGTGTTTCCCAATGAATCTTTTAAAAACCAGAGTGGACTCTTTCAAAAGGTTCTGTAGGAAGCACTGGCTGCGTGGAGCTCCATCCTAGAAAGATCACACTTGGTTTAATGTTCTTCTGTCACCGTCTTGATTTTCATTCTGAACAAGGTTTGAGTTACGCAGGCAGCCCCATGTGTAGGTTTCAGCAACACAACACTGCCCTTGCGCGGGAAACATAAAACATTTAGGCATGAGCTCAGTAATTTAAAAGACGCTCAGAATTGTGAATGGAAATCTTTTTAAAGTCTGTTAAACACTTAATAATGACCAGAGCAAAGAAGCTAACCATGGTGACCCCAAGCTGGTAGGTGTAGACGGCCTCATGGCAGTGAATGGAGGAGTGACATCTGAATAGAGGAATTGTCTTCGAATTCACTGGGAATTACTAAAAACATTTCCAAAAGCTATAGCAGAGGCTTCCACTGCATTTAACTTTTGAAGTCAAGCAAATACCGGGTCTTGGTGAAAGCAAGGATATTATGCATGCCTACATTTTCTTAGGGTATCTTTGATTTATACCTTTGCGTGTCATATCATGAAATTTATATTCTAGAAAATGATATCATACGGACAAGAATGCTGAGCTTTTAAAAAACAGCTTTTAAATGTTCAAAGGGATCGCTGTATTTTTTTAAAAAGCAGTGTCTGTGCTACTTTTATGGGTTCCACAGCATATTCATTTCCATGAGTAAATGCATTTTATAATAAACCACAAAAGAGAACATCTAGTCCGTTGAACAGAAAGCTTGAGATTAAACATATAGGGCCACCTTACGCACATGTTAAAATTATACTTGCGATAATATTGCTTTCTTGTTTTAGAATTATCTCGGACATCTTCCGTGACTATGCTGGCCTTTTATATGTTATCTATTTTAATTTTAGTTTAAAGTAACTTGTAAGAGGAAAACATTTTGGTAAAGTCAGAATAACAGTTAAAATCTAAGTTTTTTATTCTGCTTATATGTGCCCAATTTATTTTGCGGCTCACGGAAGCTAACTTTTGACAGGACTGGTTAAGTTCATGAAGATCTCTAAGTTTATGAAGAGCCACCACATGGGAGGAGAACCATAGTGTATAGAAGGAATGATGGATAAATGGATGGGTGAAAATTGCCCAGGCACATTGGTAAGAAAGAGCTTAGCAAGGCTTGGCTCAAAGTCAACTTGAACCCCATAGTCTGAATTTGTCTGGAGCAGAAATGGACCTTATATTGACTTCACTTTGACTTTAAATAGACAAAACACCTTGTCCAGCAAGGACAGTGGGAAAGAGTCTTAACTGACCCTTATTTCTATCTATGTGAACAAAAACCGAACTGTGTGGCCCATCTTGGTCAGGTTCTACAAGAAACACACAAAACAAGGCCCTCACCCAAGAAGTTAGCTATATCCTTCCTTACAATTTTTTTAGGATATGAGTATCTTCCTTCCTTCCTTCCTCCCCCCCCCCTTTTTTTTTTTTTAAGCATAGAATAAGAACCCTCTGAGAAGCTTACTAAAGGTATACTCCAGAACTCCACGTTCAGAGATTCTGGCTCAGCACATGTGGGTAGGGCACTGGAATCTCAACTTTTAAACAACACCTGGTGTTCCTATAGCCACTGAACCAGGGACAGGTTTGACAGATAATTGGTTTAGAAAACAACCCACTAAAGATGGATTTCAGTAGCATTTATGGCTTTTTTGTTGTTTCATTTTTTAGGTATACATGTTGATATGGATTGGACACAGCAATCTGTTTCTTAATAATCATATTGCTATACTTTTTCCAGTACATTCCAGTCTAACAACATAGTGTTAGACTTATTTTTTCAGACGAGCAGTTTATCTTTTCAAAAGCTTCCCAGCTGCGTTTGGTAAGAATAAACTATGAAGGAAACAAGCATAATCTTTCTCTAGATACACCCCTCTTGGAAAAGCAAATTGACAACTCACTCTAAAATTGCGGAAGACCAATACTTAAACTTGATGGCATGTAGGAGATCCCCTGTCATTAGCTATAGGGGACAGTGAAGGGAGGGGAGGGAACTCACCTGAGTTTAATTGCCTTCATTTGATGATGTAATAACATGCACTTAGTCTCAGAAACTGCAGTTGACTTCTGGAAAAGAAAATGTGAGAAAACCAAGAAATGTCTCCCCGCTACAGCCTTGAGCCATTCTCACAACTACATTTGCAGGCTAAGTTCTCAGAATCTTGGTAAGAAGACTCTTCTAGATTCTTCTTTAACTGCGCCTTCCTTCTTTCTCCAGACTTTATCCCTTCTGCTTAGCTTGGAATTACATGATCCAGGGAATTCCAAGCGCTCTTAAGAGGAAAAAGTAGTGAAATGGGGAGCACGGGATGCAGTTAACAACTGAATGGATACATACCAGATTTCCATCTTCTGTAACGTGATTTCAGGCAAGAACGGCGTGAACCTCTCTGGCACGGCTTACTGCTCTGGTCTCTGACAGCCAATTTCACCCTTCTGCAAATGAAAATGGTAACTTTATGCAATAGGGCCACTGAATATGCTGTGCTTTGTAGAAAAGGACACACACATTCATTGGCAATCATCTGCTTTTTTTTCTTTTTAATCACCGTGTACTGTAGATACCCTATTTGGGGATAAGTTAAGCATACGACGTAGTTTCCTCTTCAGTGAGATTATAAAAAACTCAGAGTTGCTGCATTTACATGTTTAAAGGTATACATTTTATTAATCACCTTGCTATTTACTAAGATTTTTACTAGGAAGCCTCAGAAAACTGCTATTTCTTTTGTGCACTAAAGAACAGCTTAATGAAATTTTTAAAATTTTCTGGGCAAAATACACAAAGGATGGTTAAATAACATGATTTCAAGCTACTCCTCCTTTTCATGAGCTTGTCTCCCTGTCCTTTTGCCTCTCCCCCCCCCAAAGTCACCATCAATCTTTCAATTAGTATTAAATTTGGCACCTGTTCTGCAGGCATGCTAAGAGCCTATTCTAGATTAAGTCATCACTAAAATTTTATTCTGTCACTGCAATAATTACTAAAATTAAAAGAACTACTAAAAGATAAAATGTGTCAATATGCATTTTCATGTTCCAAGGATCCACTGTATGGTGATCATTATATTCAACTGTGAATGCTTCTTCCCTCCCAGCACCTCCCGCCAGAAATTTTTAGCTTTAGCACATTTAATGGCCTCTGCCGATTTTAGCGCCTTACTGAGCATAGCGGCTGATGGACCATGCCAAGAACATATTGGGTTTTGGAAACCCAATACATATAGCCACATGATAAGTACTTAACAGTCAAATGTAGGGAACTATTTAAAATACAAAAAGTAACTTGTGTATTTCCGGTTCTTGACATGACCAAAATATCACTGGTTTGACCCCAACATATATTTTGAGAA